ATGAAGAAGAAAAGATTCAGCCTCGAAAGCAAAAGCATCCTGCTGCTGTTGCATCCTTGGATCCAGTAAGAAAGTGTATGAATTTTGCTTTGACACCTTTGAATTTGCCTTAGTGGAAAATACATAGCCATTCCTCATCACCTTTAACAGCTTGACCAAATTTCCACTGTCTTCATAAGCAGGTAACAGGGCTTGAATCTGTCTTTCTTCTTCTTCTGATACCACTTGCCTTTCCTTACACTTGGAAAGAACTACCTGGCACATGTGGGCATCTGTGCAAGTCAATAGTCCACCAGTGCGTGTATCAAACAATTGTTCCACATACATTCGAGCATCAGCACCACTTTGGAAGTCAGTTTTGGATGCCTCAAAAAGAATGCGCTTTTCTGCTTGAAATGACCAGAAAATTTGCCTGCACACATTACCAGTTCCATGTATAGTCTTTTTTAGTTCACCATTAAAAGATTCAAATGGGAAACAGGACCATGCCCAAAGTGGTCCCCAGCTCTTCACCATGGGCACCAAGTGGATAAGATTATGTACATTGAAACCCATGAAATTCTGTCCATACAGTAATTGAGCATTTTCATGAAAAGCATGCAGCAGCCGATCTGCCTTTTCTAAATCAGTTGATGTGATGCCTGTAGATAACAAGATGTATGTTGCCTCAACTAACAAAGAAAAATGCTTCAGATACAAATTTGGCAAAATATTGATCAAGCATGGAATGGCATAAAACAGTAGCCAATTTCGGTATTCAGAAGCTTTCAAGTTCTTGAGGGTATTTCTGATAGACCTCAGAGTTCTGTGAATGATATATGGAGGCTGTATTCTTGTCAGTTGCTTGTCAACATCTGCAGTTTTGTCACCGATGTAAAAGGCTTCCCCACAGAATTTGGCGTCAAACCACTTGTCCATTAGTTTCTTTGTGATTCCTAATAGAATCCCATGCATGTAGTCAATAGTGATATTTGAGTTGAGAGAGAACTGAGGTAAATAGCTGAGAACACTAACTCCAAAGAATCCCATATTTCGATCGCCACTGTTGTATGCTTTCAAACAGCAATCAATGATTGATTCTTTCGTCCGATGTTTAGTAGGCTCTGCTCTTGATAGGAAGGCTCGACATGTACCAGCTCCACTCCGGACTACTGATCCTTCATCTTCACAATACAGACAACCAAATTTTCCATTGTATTGCGTCATGTTTGCTACATAAGCACGAGCTGGTAAATCCATTGTTGCCACAACCACCATGGCTTTGATGTGGATTTGTTCATGTTTGATCATAATATCAGTACCTTTATGATACAGATTCAACAAATCAAGCACCAATGGACGCAAAAACATATTCATTCGAGGTTTTCCTTTTCCCTGCCAAATACCCCACAGCAGCATGTTTTTCCTGTGGAATCTTTCCTTTGGAGGAATTTCGTTTATCAACAGATATACCGGCCAAAGTTGTACACCAGAACTTTTGAATAGTACAACACCATCTGTAAATACTGAAAAGGTGACATTATTAGAGTTGTGTAAAAATTGCCCGGTTTAAGTAATTCTTGGTATGATTGTCCACCTTGAATGTCACAGATGTTTGTGTGCACCACATTCATATGTCTTCTAGTCATCTCCCATAAATTCTCTCTCTGCAACACCTCCTGCAACTGAGTACATAGGTTGCTGGTGGCAAAATATCTAGCACTGTTTCCAGTCAATTTATTTCCTGTACATCCTGGAGTTAAACAGATATCTGTTTCCCCATTGTATAATTTGTTGCAAATTTCACAATACAAATTGAAGTTCAAATAATCTTTATCAAAGCCACATTTTGCTTTCACACATTGGACTCTTGTTTCCCCTTATGTTATTTTTTGGGATATGAAGTTGCAATAAGGACAAAAGATCCTTGAAAGCTACGTCTGATATGTTGTGCCGAGCAGCAAATGCTCCAACTGCACATACATGTTCCTGAACTGTTATTGAACTGGATACAGGTTGAGATCCGGCTGGTATCACATACAATGGTGGGTCCTTCCTAACATGATTGTATTCGGCTTCCTGCTGGATTCTTCCATCATCACTATCATCATCATCATCATCAGCAGCAGCAGTAGTAGCATTGCATGGAGTGATGTCATTGTCATCACCATACTCTGATGTAGTGATTTCCATGTCTTCTTCATCAAATCTGTCTATGAAATCTAGAGTATGTATTGATGGGAAAACATTAGATTCTGCAAGGGGTTCTGTCACTAATGGAATAAGTTCATCATTTTTTGTGACTAATGTAATTTGGTCGATATCACTGCAGTTTTCTGTCTCGAGAGGAAGTTGATCATTAACTTCAAGATTGTCATCAAATGAAATGACTTGTCCTTTCTGAATAGGTGTTACATCCTGAACACTTGTGCATGTATATACGTAGCGGTGCATGTAGCGGTGTTTTCTACCTGTTGAAATCCACTTTTATTGGGTTGACATCCAGTTGAAATAGTGCAATACAAAAAGAGAAAAAAATATTTAATGCTGGAAAATGGTTCAGAAAAAACCCTGGAAAAATGATGAAATGGAGTACATTTTTAATCCAATCACAATGCCATACTAACAAAGAGGTCCATAGGCCTTATCAGTCACCCCAAGTTCTCTGATGTATACTGATAGATGATGTTTTGCTTTTAAACTAACATTTAACACATCTCACCCCTGTGACCTTGAAAGTAGATCAAGATATATTCATTTGAACTAGAACAGTGACAGGTCAGCATGGAATGACTGTTGTGTGACTATATATCCCCAATAATCATCAAGAAGCCATCTGCCCATATCGCTGTGCAAGTAAAATATACATTTTACATGTACTATGATGTGATTCTTGTTTCCTTCCACCTCCATTTTTGCTGGGCTAACAGAAATGTAAATACCAGTATAATACTCATTTGTTAGCTTCAATTTATTTCATCTGAATCATAAAAGACACACCACAATAACAGCCAGGGTTATTGTCAGATATCAAATTTGTCCTTGAACTTTGGGCCCAAAAGATCTTTGATCAGTTGACTCCTTGTTTAATTCCGGTCAACTTCGCTTCATCATGTCATAACAAAATGTTTATCAGTGAAAAGATAATTTTAACCTTGACCTTTGGGCCTAATGACCTTGGCCTTTGACTTTGATTTGTGACCTCAGCTTGTATTTTTGTGAACTGAACAAATATCCTGAACCTGGGTGGGCCTCTTGGTTATTGAGAAGAAGTAATTTAAAGATTTGAACACATTTGACCCCTGTGACCTTGAAAGTAGGTCAAGGTCATTCATTTGAACAAACTTAGTAACCCTTCATCCCACCATGCTACTGGCCCAATACCATGATACGACCATGGACAAAAGGCGAAATCTTGCAATAAAAACGCTAGTTCTGACAAGTTTTATGGCCCTTTGCTCTGAGAGATATAATGGCCCAGACCGCTTGAAACTAGTCTAACCTGATAATTGTATCAAGATCAAGGAAAAAAATCAATTGACTGCAAAAACCTTAATTTTGTTCGAGTAACTCACAATATACATGTCTCAACAAATACATACCTGTTAGTCGGCTGGCCTTGAACAGACCAACGATAAAAAGTGCTTCTTGGTACACGGACAGTTTCATCTGTTTTATATCTTTTGTATCCTTTACTTGGTCCAACTAAATAATGAAAGTCAAAGTGTTAATTGGTATTTTAGTCAAAAAAATAATTTTAGCATCAAGAAAAAAGATTTGAAAGGGAATTTTGAAACATTGATAATTCATTTAAAAATTTGTATGTCTTAATTTGAAAGAAAGTATAGTGTCACCTTATATTTTTATTTTCTTCAATTTTCACTTTTTTATGTCTATGTCCATATATTGATCATGATACATTAACTAAATTAATTAAATTTGCAATACATACCACTCTCATTATGAATGCCCCATAAGTGGTCCTGCAGTGTTTGTTTTCTTGAAAGAACTTTACTCACGCGGCAAATCGGACACTTCCATTTTTTGTTTTCCAATTCACAAGCTTCCAAGTCTAAATCATTCATCATGGTTGTGGTTGTGACATCTAAAAAAACAAATACAAAATGAACAAGTAGCTATACTACTGTCACAACAACTTTTAGTTTTAAATTTGTTTTTTAATCAATTTACAGTTTACATTATTGTTAATGACATTTATTTATCTATTGATCGTTATCGTTGATTTAATTTTCGTTTCTAATCCGGACTTGAGTAAGTCTATTTCGGTCCTTTGTTTAACGGTTTTTAATTTTATAATAAGTGACCCCATTCAAGTTTATTGTAGTTAATCATGGCAATAGACGATACCACTATCCCTTATACTATAAAAACACAATATACATTTACACAGAAAAACAAATCGTATTGTGTAACGTTACCGTAGGGTATTACATAACATCTATCCTAGCTGTCGGTAATAATCTAGCCTAGGCCCCGGTAAAAATATTCAACAAACTTTTCGTAATTCTCAAGGAGATGCTTATAGAATCACATTACCAACGTTAGTTTGCTTGCATTTCACTTACATTAAAGACGTTGATTAAGTCGATTATGACGATCGATAGCAAGAAGATTCTCCATCAAATGACCATCTGCATCCATGATGTCGCTGATAACGATAACAATAAACTCGCCTTTTTTCAAACATACTTGATGTCAGTCCTGATGGTTGATGTAATCAGTCCTGATGGTTGATGTAAATTTATGTAAGCGAACGGCTTATGGACAGGATACAATATGGGTTGGTAAATTTGTGTAATGAAATATACGGAACTTTAAACATTTTCATTCTCCTAAGCGATCCCTCAGCATCGGTACCAAACATTCGTGTCTTCAATCGCGTGATTGGTTAAGTGGAATGGCACTTTTCTAAACTCAAACGTGATTGGTCGAGTTCAAACGCGCAATTTGGAACCAAAATTACTCCATGCTTACATAGATCGCCACACAAGAACAGAAAGATGGAGAATAATAATTCTGATGTTGGAAACATGATCATGCGCATGTTTTTCGTTGTTGAATGGATACTAGAAAACCAGTTCAGCGTTATACCATTTCGCAACATCGTTTCTCCCATGAAAAACAGGTACGAGGAGAACAATGAGGTGCAAGCGAGGTGGGGTAGAGGCAAATCTGTCTACCCAGCCAGGATCGTAAAAACCTCAGGTAAGTAAATATTTCCGCATTTTTGAATAATTCAGCTTCTTTCAGTACCTTCAAAATGTACATTTTTGTGATTTATGTGAATTTTTATTTAAGTATCTTCCATCATGTGGTCCGATGCACGTAACTATAAATTTATGATTTACTAGTCCTAACAGTAAATAATAACTTTCTATTTTGTTAACCAAAGAGTAATTTGCTGCTTAGAAATATTTCATTATTTTTGAAATTTGCTACATTTTATGGGTTTTTTTTCATCGTTATTTTAACAAATGACCAGGATCTGTTATCAAAGGAACTAACAAGTATTATAGAAGTGGAGCTCTGGAAAAAAAATGTAACTGCTGGTGAAAATCAAACGGTTTCTGATTCCAGCAGTATCCAAAGGCCAACCCAGAATGAAGGTATTGATTATAAAATATATATTGTTTGTAAACACATTATATAAGCTTATATGTAAATGTATAGGTAAAATTATAATCTAACTTATTTAATTTAGACCAAAGATTATGATAGATAACAAAAGAAATCTGTAAACAAGTTTCCATTGTTACCCAAGTTCTTATCAAACTTGACATTGTCCAATCATAAATTCAAAATTATTCATAACAGCCCTATTTTACACACATAGCCTAGATGTCAAAGGATGCAGATGTTAATGATTTGATCTCTATTTTTAATACCCAGTACCTCTTGATATTTTTAGATAACAATTCCATGTACGAGACACTAAAAGAAGTCACAGTGCCCGTCAAGATAATTACAAAGCCAAAGGGAAAAACTGGTGTGAAGGAGAAGTCAAGTAAAAAGCAAAAGGTTTGTTTAAATACTACTCAAGAGCTAGAATGTTTGTAAATGTAATCATGATCATTCAAGTGTGAAAGGAAAGAAAACGTTATAACAAAAAACGTTATTCATTTAAACTTGATCACAAATTAAATTTTATAATAATTCATGAAACTGCAGAGTATTTTCAGGGGTTGGTATCAAAACTGCTGTAAGATTTTATACATTATTCTTGATCACTTTTCCATTTATGGACATTGAAAGTTTGGAAATATGTACATCATACTAAGTGGTGTTTCCGGGGTTTTTAAAATAAGTTACCCAGGTAACTGTGATCTTGGACTCAGACCTAAAGTGCAGGTTAACAAGATTGGTGCACAGTGGCCCATGATTTAAGTTAAATTAAGTTTTCATGAAATATGTTAATTCATTGCATACAATAAAGATCATGTTTTTTACATTGTGCCTTCATTTTTCATATCAGGAAGACCTTGAAAAGGCAGCAAGCAATTTGGAGTTGTTGGAATTTGCTTTGGAGAAATCATCCTTTGGGTTAAAAACTCCACAAAAATCTGTAGAAGTAACTCCAACCAGCCCCAGTGTTTTATGTACCCCAGCCCCAACAACCCCAAGGTGCCAACAGGAAACCCCTACCAGTCTGAGGAGGAGCCCAAAGATTGCAAGAGGCACACTCCATCGCTTGTCATTACCATATGATAGGTAGGCCCCCTCCCCCAGGGGAAGGAATTTTGAAAAATTTAAAAAAAGAAATGAAAATTTGTAAGATTTGATGGATTTAATATATAATTATTCAGCATTGGTAATGGTTAAAATACATATATTGGAACACTTTGTAGTTTGTAACTTCACTGTAGATAATGTTTTAATTTACAGATTTGGTTCGTTCTTAGAAATAATAAACTGTCGGAGCAGGGATCCATTAAATTTGTAGCTGGGTTTTACATTTCACATAATGTGTGAAGTTTTTTTACAAGTAAGGTTTTGATTTTCAGACCATCTACAAGCTGGGATACTAACACAAGTTCAGTTCTCAAATCGGCATTTAGGACATTAAACCAGAGAGATTTTGAAATGGAGGATACTCCGAACAGGCATATGCATTCTGATCACCACATGAACGTTCAGCAGAGGGTGGCGGCATTAGAGAGCTGGTTGTTTACCTTACAGCAGGAGGTCAATCAGCAACGCTTTTATATCAACTGGTTATACAATGAACAGCAAGTATGTACACATTGATGGGACACCATTCATTTCATAAATATACTTTTATTTAGCTTGTTTTGTCTCATTTAACTACAATGAAGTTAGCAAGATTGATAATGATGTTTTATGTATGCATTAATATTATGAAGTATTACACAAGTAGCATGAACTCTAATTTGTAAGGTACTTAATTTCCAAAAATATATATATATATTTCATTCCAACACAAGGACTTCTCAATGTTTTCTTTATATATATATAGTACAAATTACACAGGACATCTGGACTTGAAGCACTGAATTGTATTCTTATTTCTTTCGATTTTCTTTAGAATCAAAACTTCACCCAGAACTCTGCCAAGGAGCCAATGGGGACACCAGGAAATCACCAGGTATAATTGTTTTAATCATATGCAACAAAATACTAAACCCTTTTAGCCATCAGTCATATGGTAGAATGTTCAAGTTGCCATCAGTCTTTCTTTATTTTCTCTATTTCTTGAAGGGTCTTTATATCAAGTTTCTCTTTTAACTTTGACAGTTTAAGTTTGTGATTGCCACTTCCTCAGAAAGTACTGGATAGATATTTCTCAAACTTAAATCATGTTATGTAGGTTCCTTTCGCTTAGTCCCTAGTCATGACCATTTGATTCAGATTGATCAGAACAAGAAAATAGCAGGCTATCATTTTGGATTTCAAAACTTGAAGAAAAGTTGTCACTATTTCTTGTTAACCATTTTAAGTATTCACAAGACGTACAACAGCAAGGACAGAGAAAGACGGGGACGACTAGATCTGCATAGAATCAATGAAATCTAATATATAAATTGTATATGCACCTGCAAAAATATTTGTTGCTTAGTTTTCAAAAATATGCATGTGATTGAACATTCCTGCTATCCAAATTCTTTTTTTCATAAGCATTTTCATTTTTTCTTTCACTATTAGGACCAAAGCTTCAGCCACAACACCTGTTCTACCAATGAACCAATTAGGGCACCAGATGACCACCAGGTATAGCTCCTGTTAAAGACTCGTAGACCATCAGGTATAACTCCTGTTAAAGACTCGTAGACCACCAGGTATAACTCCTGTTAAAGACTCGTAGACCATCTGTAAAGGATTTCTCAAATTGGACAGGTTACCCATGAGAATTAGTTTTAAAGAACAGAATTGCTGCCATTTTATGGACAAATAAAATTTGTTTTGGGCAAGTGGATTTTATATTGGTTTTGACACAGGAAAGTGCAACATTTTTTTACACCCATGCTTTTTGTTATTTTAGCATGGTGAATCCCTGGAGACAGCTGAACATTCATTCACAAAGGTTTGTCATTAAGATTCATTATGGTGTATTGTACAAATGTTTATCAAGCTGCAGTTTTTACAGAAAAATAAATCTTGGAAGGCACAAACAATATATCTCGATCTTCTATTAAAGTATAATAAAATCTTTATTGTGGCTAATAATCATGGTCTGGAAATCGAGTTAAATTGATTTATTTTTTTATTATTATAATTAATTTTTGTATTTATTTGACTAAATTCTATTGATAAAATGGTAATTCATATTATCAAAACGGTTAAACTTATAGAAACATAATAATACACTTTATAATTATGAGTACTGTCATCAAGGATGGAATCTCGATATATTCATACGTCATACATTTACATTACTTTTCATACATGTATTTGTATATAATTCAGGATCAGCTTAGAAACCTGATAAGCCAGGAGACTAATATCTCCAAGGGAGCAAAGCTTCTATTTAAGAAGCTGTATTCCCGCGAGGAAATTGCCGGCCGTTCATTGACTGGACAGAAAGCCAATCAGCTGAAAGCACCCAAGCCTGCAATTGAAAACCAGGCAAAGCTGGCACTATTGTATGGTAAGTAGAATAAATTTACCATCCACAAGGAAGTTGGGTAGCTATAGGGTGTATTTTGATTGCAAGCAATATTGATTGCAATTTAAACTTTCATTAAAATTATATTTATCTCCTTGTCAAAGTTTAATAGGTAGTAATATGGTATGGTTTTGTCTGTTGCAAAATTTCCTACAGTTTCAACATGTCACTTTGGCATGGAATAATGGTCCACAGTTCTCTTAACATTAGGTCCATCACTTGATCAGTTGATTTCCTACATCAGTTTAAAAATTGCATTTGGGAGTTTGGGTGGGGTGGGGGAGATGGTAGGTGATATTATGTGGCTTTTAATTTCTTTTTGTCTGTTGTCCATTTCTTTTTGCGTACATTTATAACATCAGACAGGAACCCAGTATCAGTAAAAACTTCATCATTAGTAATCCTATATCATCTCATTTCTTTTTCCTGTCAAATTTCAGAGATTGTGATGGAAAAGTGGCCATTTACAACGAAGCCTATGATAAATGAGAAGCTCAGGCTGACTTGCTCAAACTCAGTGCAACCAGGCATTGATTTACTGGGTAAGTACCGGTATATTAATTTCTAGTTTACAATGACACTTGCATAATTATTAAATTATGTAGTAGACAGATATTAATCGAGATATTGAAATCATACATGTATTTTATCCAAGACTACCTAAATTTCTTTCATATTTGAAAGGGTTATTATGTATTGCTAGGAAAATATGTGTGTTTGTGTATATATATATATAGTTTTACATAAGAATTATAATTTATAATGCATTGTTTTTTGTTATTTCAGATTTACCTGAGAGCCTCAATTATAACATTGACCGGGACTAGGCAGATGGATAAAAAATACAATCTAAAATACATTTGATTTTACTGATCAATCTCTTTTTCTGTTCTGTTTTTAAAGCTGTTTCAAAATATGTGATAGAAGAGGTTGGATACACCTTTTTCTGATGTTGCCCATCCACCCCGCAGATATTTAAAAAAAAAAAAATGTTTTTTAATATTAATGGTATAATATAGCAGATAGACCAATTTCATGTAGGTGCCTCCAACCTCCTCGTTTAATATGTGATACACCATAGTTTAGTAGTTATCATAGATGGCATTCTTAGTGTTATGCTGAAAGATGGATCGTTACGACCGAGGTTTTGCACAAGCAGTGCAGATTTCTGTCTTTAGAAATATCGCAATGCATTCTTTACCAAGGATTTGTCCCTCTTACAAGCTTTTTAAAGGACTCCCAAGATTTCCACGCTTTCGCCAAGGTTCTCCAAGCTTTCACAGAGGTTTTCGTTACCGAAGATCTACCAGGATTCCTCCGAGCTTTTACCGAGGATCTACGAGGATTCCTCCGAGCTTTTACCGAGGATCTACGAGGATTTCTTCGAGCTTTTACTGAGGATCTACGAGGATTCCTCCGAGCTTTTACCGAGGATCTACAAGGATTTCTCCAAGCTTTTACCGAGAATCTACGAGGATTTCTTGGCACAAGTTTTCCAAGCTTTTTCTGAGGTTTCCTTGAATAAAAGCTCGGAAAAAATTGTCTCAATACTCCTAGCTTTTGATTCTGAGGTTTTTAGCTAAGGCGTTAGCTGCCAGCTATTGGTATTACTTTAGTTAATGAGCTCAAGATATTCATAAATGTCGTTTTCACACAGACGGCCTCTAGCGGTACCCACTGGTACTAAATTGAATCATATACCGGACCTACTGTCTTTATTATGCGTAACTTTGGACTCAAATGCACTTGAATGGCTTGTAAATATCATTCCTTTCCTTTATAGAACATATGATCTTATCACAACGTCGTATTCTTATTGAAAATGCACCCTGTTTATCTCAATCGGGAACTGCTACTTGACTGTAGGTCATGCATGCTACACGCAACTTCCGGTAAAAATACTTCAGTTAATGAGCTCAGATATTCATAAACGAGACATAACGTCACCT